GATTATGTTTTACATAAATTCAAATGGAAAAAAACCAGTGTTGATATTTTGCAAGAATCGCCACTGCAGTCAATTTCGCTCATTGCGCAAAATCTCCCATCCATAAAAAATATCGATTTCAGATGAGGCATGCTACCCCACCAAGAATCGATTGTTTTACATAAATTCAAATGGAGAGAAACCAGTGTTGTCAATTCGCAAGAGTTACCGCAGCCGTCAATGTCGTTCATTGCGCGAAATGTCCCGGCCATTAACTTTAATGCCAGAGCGTTTGCCAGAGCTGGGAAGTCTCAATCGATGAACTCGCGGTTTGCGGCGAGATGCTCGTAAATATTAACTCTTTTGATAGCAGACGACAAACGTGCCAATGGAGCCGGAACAGCTGTTAAAACACACACGCATGCTCGATTAGCCGCTAGGTGGGTATTAGGCGACAGTGGTAAATAAGGCATTGAGTAATGATGCATGACTTCTAAAAGTGACAGAAGCGTGCGGCTCCAGCTACAGAGACAGACCTAAATTTAGAAGTGCGATCAAGGAGGAAGAGGAGGCTTGAAAAAACTGCAGCGCCCTGCCACGCCATGCCACCTCCCCCGTCGAAACGCGGCCGCGGCGATAATTTTCGAAACGAGTCAACTGAAAACCCAAGGCCTCGTCTCCACGGGGCGTTTCCATGTGACATGTCCAGAGCTCGAGTCGCAGGAATGAAACTTCTGGGATATTTTTCCTAATTCCGAAGTATACCAGTGATCATGCGGTATGTTGCGATTTGATCGAAGAATGTATCGCGACTCTATCAACGTGGATTTATCGTTGGAAAAATTGCGATGATAGCGATGTCATCTCATATATTTGCAATAAAATTGCGATTTTATCGACGGCGATTTATCGCAATATTATAGAACGAAAATCGTGATGTATTGCATAAAACTTCGATTTGATCATACGCGATTTTATGGAGATAAAATTGCGACAAGATTGAGGATGATCGCTCAGGTGTTTATGATCCTAGCTAATGTATCGCCAAAAAATCGCAGTAAGATCGCCTTAGACGTCAAAATTAGTTTTCCCTATGGATGAAAAAAAAAAATAGAAAAAAATCCAAACAAACTATACTCAATGCTAAATGCTCAATGCTCAATGCTCAATGCTCAATGCTCAATGCTCAATGCTCAATGCTCAATGCTCAATGCTCAGTGCTCAATGCTCAGTGCTGTACTCAATGAAGTAGATGAAAGGAAACTCTACATTTCTTGCTTAGATATCTCATTTTTTTGCGATTTCGAGGACCGGCAACGTAGGAGCACATTTAAATAATGCATTTCTCTGAAAGTTGACCATGTAGCGTTAAAAATCAGTGATGGTTTACTTTATGGGCACAATAGGCAACGCTTGAATTAAGCTAAAGTGTAAGAGAAACAAAGCAAAGCTTCAGTTTGTGTCGCATGCGACGGATACTAAACGAATTTCATTACAGCGTCTGGAAGCAACTATTCGGGCTCCATGGATGTCCGTGTTGCATATCCACGGGAGTGAAGGCGTTTTGACTTCAGACACTAACCGCCTCACCAGAGGCGCTCAGTGGAGTTAGTCATTGAGAGGAGTCGGACAAAATGTGTGAACAGTAAAAGCTCATATTGATGTTGACACGGAACGCAGAGGTTTCAGAGGTAGTTCCGCTGATTTTCTCGTGAAATTTTCTTCAAAAGGCACCCCATATAATCTATAATGCGGAGAAATTAACATCGAAATTTAAAATTTTGGTCGACAAATTCATATCCAACCTATCTGAAAGACCCGCGCGGTTTCATTGTGCGGCGAGCTTTACTGCGATGATCTGAAATGACAGAGTGTCTTTAATTCTTCATTGACGCTTCAAAGACATCTCTCAGGCATGAATAGTTGCTCCACAATGAACTGAAAGAGCTTTGCCATTTTGGATCCTTGCAGTAAAGTGCGCCGTTGTGTTGGCGCACAAGTGAAGTGGTGAGTGCCTGGACAGTCAAAACGCCTTCAAATCGGTGCGTATGCAACACAGACATCCATGGAGCCCGAATAGTTACTTCCAGGAGTTTAAATGGACGTAATTCTGCCAAACGGAACTATGTGCATTAAGACATGAGCCCTGAGACCCATAAGCATATATGCATAACAGGGCTCACGTGATGTGAGTCACGTCATAATGCACATAGTTCCGTTTGATAGAAATACGTGCAAATGCTCGTCTTGTAATTGACGGCGCTTTGCTTGTTTCACTGCGTAATTGAGTTACGGCGTACTAACTTTATTCCAGCGTTGCCTCGAGTTTTGAAAAAGCACCGAGTCGGCAAAAAGACATTCTTCGTAGTCTGGTATCCTTCATTATCTCATTTTTTTTTTAAAAAAAAATTGAGCCTTAATAAGTACCCTACTGCCGTGCTAAGGAAAAACGCCGTATGAGCCTTCAAGCGTTGCCAAATTTCCTCTAGCAAATTAATAATTTTCAGGAGAAAGTTTGAATATTTATCTACCGATTTCTCAGATAATTTTGTTATAAAATTTTGATCTAAAACGTCTGAAAATTTCAAGGACACATATTCATAATTTTCCTTAAATATAAACATTTTATCGAAGGAAATTTGGCAACTCTCAAATTTTCATACGGTGTTCTTCCTTAGCACGACAGCATAGAACAAGACTTGCAAGAAGATAAACGCAAAAAATCGTACGAAAAACACGATTTTCCTTCGTTCCCACAGGTTGAGAACATCTGAACGACGAATAACACCATTTGGTCGTAAATTTTGTATTGCAGTACTTAGCTGTAAAAATGAGCGACTGAATGTTCGTATCATCGTTCTGCACATAAAATTCACGATCAATCGCTGAATCCTCTCCGGTCATCATCCATATCGATAGACAGGACTGCAAGGTTTTATCGATATGAATCGCTCGATGAGCGATCAATGAATTTCGAGCACCGCATTCCGCAGACTGAATTGATGAGGTTCAGATGGAGAATTTCAGCCGCATGATAATTTGAAACCTCGTTGAATTGGTCGCAGTTCACTTGACGTAATTCTGGTCGCGAGAAATGATCAAATCGGATTTTTCAGCTGTGATGAAGTGTCCTTTTCCTAACCTCCGGATTCTTCATAATCGAACCGGTGGCGTGACGTGCTTTGCGATATATCGATTGCTCTGCCATTTAAGCCTACGGAAAATGATCGATTGGGATCGAAGGAAAGCAATTTGCTATGCGAAAAAATCGCATCTTTTTTTCATTTATTTGCAATCAATTTCAATTAGAAGAGCCCCTTCAATCAGGAGAAAGGCAACACACACAACACTCCGATACAACAACAATAATTTTTTAACCACGTGACTACAATTTATTGCAACCAGTGCTACTCAGGAAGGGATTACCCCGAGGATGGCCACGAGATGCAAAATGCAATTTCATGGAGTAAATTTTTTTTCCCCCTCTCTGGCAGTGTTACATAAAATTTCATCAGACTATCAGAGGCTGAGTATATACTTCAGGCGAAAAATAACCGACTGATCGACGTGGAATTTTTAAATTTGACTTATGATCATCTTATTTCAATATGCAAACTGTTTCTTACTATTCCTCAGCGTCTTACAACTTCCTGCATCTAATTGCAAGTTTCAAAAATTTCGTTGAAAATCATGGTGAAATTTCTTTTTCAATATTTCATTAAAATCGCATCCTCATTGTGCGCGCGCGCGCGGATCACACTGAAAAGAGCGAGCATACGGTTTTTGGTGGGAGACAGAATGAACTCTACATTCCATCGGGCGAGTATTGTATGATTTTTTTATTTAGTTTTTTTACAGTTAGTCATGTATGCATTAATTTTTTATATATTAGTATTTATTTTATTTTTTTTCTTTTTCATAGGGAAGGCAGGTCCTCTACATCCCTAACTACGGCAAACTACGGAGCCAACAAAAAAGTCAGACCAAACTGATATACCTATCAGGACGTTTTTAAATTTAGAATAGAAAAAACGTCATTTAAAAAAAAAAATAAGGTAAAAAAATGTAAAATATTCTGGGATATTCTTTTCATCTGGAATCTTAAATTCTGATTTTCCAGCCTAATTGGGCTAAAACCTCTTACCTGTATTCTACTCTCTCTTAACGTAAGGTATAAGAGTGTGCCAATAAATTGTGATGTTCATAGATAGATTTTCAGTGATGTGACTCGTGTGACAGCCGGGATTTGTCTTTGCCTAACCATTAAAATGAAGCACTACCCGCTAATACAGAGCGTGGTTCCAATAAGCATCAAATTAGGGTCCGCCTTCAACTAGTAGGGTAGGCAACAATGGTGTCATCGGAGTGCCTCGTCTAAGACTGCAGACGTACTTTAAATTCTTTCAAGATTTAATCTATTCCGAATCATCAAAATTTTATCAATATAATAGTTTTTTTTCGCAACATGTCCACCGCGGTGAGGGGAGACGAGAGCAGTTTATAATTTTTCGTATTTTAGGAGCTTCGCGGGGAATTTGTTTAAAATTATTTCATGAAATTCGCGAAAGCTCCATTCATCAAATACCCAGATGCACAAACTATGCGAATATCATCCTTTGACTTTAAAAATGAATCTATCGAATTTTATGATTTTTCTTCAACATGAATAGGAGACAGGAAAAGCCGCAGAATTTTTCTCACGGAAAACGTCGCAACGCATGACACCAAATTTCATTGCGAAACACGCCTGATTTCACCATTTACACGACTAAACTTAAATAAGGAGAAGATTTCATTTCATAGCAATATTACAAGTCATTATTAATTACAATAGATTAAGGAGTCGTCCGTTAAGTGCTGCTCATCGTCAGTTTACTGATAAGAAAAACATTCATTTTGATAAGCAATGATTTCGCGGTAAGAATTTGAATGACGTGCCCACCTATCTTCACTTCGCAGCAATCTTCCGCAGCGTGGGCACTTTTGATTGGCTCATACTTTCAGCCAATCACGACATTCCAGTTGTCGAGGTGGCTGGCGTTGTGTTGTAAACTCTCTAAAATCACACCGGTCAAGTAATTTTGTCAAAGTCGCTTTTGATTTTGCGGTGGAAGTTCTTATTCTCCGTCGATTATTTCAGTGAAGTTCAATATTAAAGTATCACCAATATGTATTGGTCAATCAGTTTACTAGTTTTATATTTAGTCTCCGGTGTTCTAACCGACGTATTTTTACATGAACAGTTCATAGACGGTAAGTTCGCCCATTTGCATGAACGTAGCTCGAACCTTTGTCTTGCCACGTTAATCAATTTTCTAGACGATAATACGTTTTGTTACAGTGTTTTCCATTCGGAATTCACTGTACATGAGCTGCACTAGCTTTTTAAACCATCACCATAGTCGAGTTTACTTGATTTAATCAGAATTCCCACTATTAGGGAAGTCCTTTCGGACCAAGTCAAACCCCCTAGGTTTTCAGTAGATTTCTCCATGCATTCAATTTCCTCTCTTCCAACTCACTGCTGGCCTAAATCTTATTCTGCAAGCTCTGTAGGCTCGCCCTGAACGTATTTACGCCTCCGTACTTAAGTAACACCTCCGCTCTCCATGATCAAATGTCAATCTACCTTTTCATCTACCTTTTTTGCCAACCCAAACCGAAGCTTTTCCAGAAAAAGCGAACTCAAGCAACTTCAGAATCAGTACTAGTTTTAGCTCAAAATACATACATCAGCCTTTCTACAGCTCAAGACCTTTTTTGAAATAATGTGTTTCATTTAAGTGCTTTACATCTTATTGTAGACGCAAGACCTCTAATGTTCTGATGGTCATCTATACTATAGTAAGTATTGTAGAAGCCACCAGCTGTGTCTGATTTTTTAATCATCCAAATGCGTTCCTAAGAACGTTTTGGTATTTATTGATGGCTGAATGAAGTCTGCACAAAGTAATTGCAAAGTTCTTAAATTGCCGTCTACGTCTTATTTTATGTATTTTTATGAAATCGAGCCAAAATATCTGACTGAGATTTTCTGTGAATATTACCAAAGGATTGAAAAAAATTCACCGCAAATGTCAGGCCGAAATGTCAATGTTAGTTTTCCTCTGGAAAAACAATACATGAGGGGAGTTCGAATCATCGCAACTGAAAAAATGAATTGCTCAACTTCAGATACCAATACGCAACTTCTATCTGTCCAGTCTCTCTGTTTAAGTCTATTTCAGCTTTTATTATAAATGCTAGGTCCCTTGGACTGCAATGTTCTTTTGACTAACTTAGGACCTTTGTAGCTAGCTGTCGAGCTGTAGTGAATTTCACCAGCAAAATACTCAACTCCTCTCTTAGTTCAAACTAATGAGAGACACTTATGCGTCAAATTGATTACAAAAGGAAAAAAATTTGAAGTTTAGTTAATAAAGTGACATTCGAATATTTTCTCCGAAGATTATGACCTGTAACCTATCTTTCTGAACTACAGTGCTTACCAGGTTCCATTTCAAAAATTCCTTTTATGTTTTTTTCAAAGCAGTCCACACTGATAAACCAAAGCAAGTCTTATCGCAATCCTCCTCACTCGACTCGATCAGTACCTATTTTGATCATCCCGCCAATGAAAATCTCTACGTCTATACATTAAAATTTTCTAGTAACTGTCAATTTTTGTTCGTAAATGCGAAGAACACTAATACCTAGTATATTTTTTTAGTGTTTCGAATCCATAATCAAACTCTACTACTTTCAGCAAACTATTCTTCAAATTTTAGACCTCCTTTTCCTCAGAAAAAGTGCATCTAAATTGTTTGTAGCACTCTTTTTCTTTTAATCATGTAATAATCTTATTCTGTTCTTTTTTCAGATAATTGGGAGTCTGAGTGGCTCTACTCTGAACACAGTGGAAAAGAATTTGGAAAATTCGTCCTAACTCCAGGAAAATTCTATCATGATCCTGAAGACAAAGGTAATATATTTTTTGAGTTTTCAAAAAAGATGTTCAGTATCTAGTCTTCTACATAGAGAATAAAGTAGGTATGAAAGGAAGTCTGCAAAACAGTAAACCGATGTATGAATTTCTGCAGTTTTGACATTGTCATGTAATGGCATCCTTGATCTTTAAAAAAAAGCACAAATTAGGAATTTTTCCTCTTAGAGAAGAATTTCAGAGCTGAATTCTTTTCAGAGCAGAATTCAAATTGTTGCAAATTCCAAAACAAAAATTTTCAATGAAAAAATGTAGTAAAATTTAACAGTAGGTATCTGCTAAAGTCAACATGATTCCATTAATTTTGCACTCCAAAAACATCAGTCAAGTAAGTTCTAAGACCAATTTCTTGAAAAAATGATTTCTTTTCTTCTGCAACTTACATTTTTTCATTTCATTTGCCAGCACTTTCTTTTTTTTAGTGTTCCAATCATAATCAAAGATGCGTAAAATGTCATATTTTTCACATATGCCGTCATACAATATTCACTTACACAGCTCATCTAATTCTTCTTTCTCCAACTTTTTAGGTATCCAAACATCCCAGGATGCCCGATTCTACGCTATCTCCAAAAAATTCCCGCCGTTCAGCAACAAAGACAAGCCCCTTGTCATCCAGTTCTCAGTCAAACATGAACAAAACATTGACTGTGGAGGTGGTTATGTCAAAGTTTTCGACTGTAATTTAGACCAGAAGGATATGCATGGAGAGACTCCGTACGAAATCATGTTTGGTATGTATTTTAAATATGTTTCTCTCTGACAGGGAAAGTATCAATGCTGAACAGACTATAGTAGTTCAAGTGAAGAAAAATGGAAGCTATTTAGTTTATGACAAAAGACATTTTTTTGTTTAACTAACTTCCTTATATGTCTTTCGCCAATATCTATAATGAATGTCTCTAAAGCTTTTTAGCTTATCAAGTACAAGTTATACTTTTTCTGGCGGTTGATATCATTTCCATAACGACTGTTAAATTTTTATCTCCACTGCCCTCTGGCATTCCCTAATACCATTTTAATTTGTTGCTGATTGTCACAAAGTGGAACCTATTCCTTTAGCACTGGACTCAAAACCATTAAATAATTTAATCAAGATAAAGACTTCTACTTCTGTCATGTATTAGTCAAACAATCAATCATCTCAATCATCAAACTAATTTTTCTTGCTCCACTAGTTCAATCATTTCGAACATATGTTCATGGTCCATCCAAACTTGAAGAATTTAATCCAGTGTTGCAAAAAAAAAAAAAGAAGAAAAAAACCACTATTTAGGGAAAATTTAAAACTTATCTGGGAAGATTTACTCAGCCTCTTACAATTATTTTTCTAGTAATTGTTTTAGCCCTAGGCTTGGTTCAGAGATTAATGATCTCATTCACTGCAGAATGAAAGTATCCTTCACATTAAGTTCCCAGAGTTAGAGTGTCGATACAAAGCAAAACATTTCCCCAAAGGAAGCAGAAAAAACTGTCAAAAATTAATCATGCAAATTCAGTTAAAATTTAGAAGTTGCTCAAGGAATTAACTCTGCCTGCTTCGTACTTTCTTGTCCTGTAATTTATGCGTTCATTAAATTAAAAAGGTCAATTTTTTTCAAGAAAGGACATCGAATATTGATAATATTGATTTGATAATTCTACTCTTCTTTCAACTTTCTCTCATTTAAGGTAATTAATCTAATTTTTCCTCTTATGTTCAATTAGGTCCTGACATTTGTGGCCCTGGAACGAAAAAAGTCCATGTTATCTTTAGTTACAAAGGCAAGAATCTACTTATCAACAAAGACATTAGGTGTAAAGACGATGTTCACACTCACTTCTACACTCTTATTGTTAAGCCCGACAACACTTACGAGGTAACTATCATTCAACTTAGCCTTCGTTTTTAACTAGACCTCATGGTTTCATAGAAGATTTCCCTTGTTCAAAATCCCTTTTTACAGTGCTCCTATTCCGAAGTAAAACTTACATGTCTTTTGGCCTAGAAGTTACCGTTGCTCTGTGGAAGATAGAAAATCCACTGAATTTCAATGAAATAACTATCACAGAATTTTCAAAGATCCCGGAAAATTAAAAAGTGAAATTTTTTTCAAAGCAATCTGCTCCAAGTAGTATAAATTGAAAGGATGTATCACATGTCCATTGTACGTGTTGACAGTTCACTGCAAAAAATATTGATCACCTCTATGTGTGATCACTTTTCATTTGTTCAAATGGACCAATAACCAGTGGATGTCTCTTGCTATCTGCCCAATATCTACGGATTTATTTACCTTTTACATGCCACCCTGAAGTAAATTTGTCACAGATTAACGGTTCCAGGAGCTGCCTATGTCTCTCCCGTCAATCAAATGTCAGGAACAAAATTTTCATTATTTTGATTTTTTTCTCCCTCACTAATAATTTGCTAATTTATTTTTATTAGGTTCTCATCGATAATGAGAAAGTTGAATCTGGAGAGTTAGAGAAGGACTGGGACTTCCTTCCCCCCAAGAAAATCAAGGACCCTGCTGCCAAGAAGCCTGAAGACTGGGAAGACAACCCCACCATCGATGACCCAGAAGACACGAAACCAGAAGATTGGGACAAGCCCGAACACATCCCAGACCCAGATGCCACCAAACCAGAAGATTGGGACGATGAGATGGACGGAGAATGGGAACCCCCTCAGATCGATAACCCTGAATACAAAGGAGAATGGAAACCAAAACAGATCGACAACCCCAAATACAAGGTTTGTTAACCCTCAGCACACCACTCCTCTTTTAAAAGTCTCATGTAGATTTAGACGCATTTTGTTTAAGGTAACAGTTGGAACGTAGCACAGAAAAATTGTTACTTAGGTTTCTTCTGCAAGCCCAACAGCAAAGTTGAAAATGCTGCCCATGATTTTGTAAAAATTTCTTGTGTCTGCCGAAAACATGTTTCAAATTTCACACACCAAAATTTTACAGCACCTAGTGGCGCTTCAGGCAAATTGAAATTTTCATCAAATAAGCCATCCCCACTTAGTCTCTGTGGACTCTACCAAACAATTGATATTGCACACTATCACAAGACTTTAAAGATTATTGTCATCAAAATGAAACTTTCCTGTTTTTTTTTTCATTTCCTAGAATAACTCCTCTCCCTCTATGTGTTTTCTACTGTGTCCATTAAGTCACTTAAAACCTTTCAGAATTTTTCCATGGTGACTAGGGCTACTGTTTTGTCCATAATCAAGACACACTTTATTGTATCAAGGTGATATTGATGCAGTATTATCTTGTTGTTTTTTAAATTTGTCTCCATCTTTTCATCATAATCATACCTGCGAAATGCATGACAAGTATCATGCAAAAAAATCATGCCGAAACCCTTTTTTCAACTCAAGTTTTACGCCTCATGTCTTCATGTTTATGAAAAGTTTACAATATTTCTATCTCATGATTAATTATCCTGTTTTAGGGTCCATGGGAACATCCAGAAATCGACAATCCTGACTACCAGCCAGACCCGGAACTTTACTTGAGGAAGGAACTGTGTGCCATTGGTTTCGATCTGTGGCAGGTTAAATCTGGAACTATTTTCGATAATGTCCTCATCACAGATGATATTGAGAAAGCCAAGGAAGTCGCATCAGTCTATAAGGCCATTCAGGTACTGTTAAAATTACCAATCCTGTTTTCCTTCTTGCTTTATCAGGGTGTCTACAAGTCAGGAATTTCCGGAAAGTGCGGAAATAGTACTGATTTTTCAAGGGCGGTCCGGAAGTACTGAAAAAGTGCGGAAATCTCACAAGAAAGTCCTGAATTTTTTTCATTTTTGTCGCAATTTGAGCGGGTAATTCAAAAGTACTGATTTTGGGCCAGCCTGTTTTAGTAGACACCCTGTTCATGGCAACCTAAGTATTTTGAATTTTTTTCTCCCTTTTTTCAATATTTTCCTGTGAAGGTGGAAATGGATCCTCAGACTTTGAAGGTCACATGAGTTACCAACCTCTTTGGGTTCAATAAAAATGTTCTCATTTTATATCAGTAATGAAGTTATCAGATATCACTATATTTTTTGAGAAAATCCAATCAGTTAAGAGGAAGAGTACAAAATTAGCATAAATTGAAAAACTTTAGAGTCCACGCCAAATAAGTTCACGCAGTTTTATACAGCGACAGAAGATCCGTCATCATGCCTCTTGCAATTACTTCACATGTAAAAGTGATATCAGACAATCTTTGGTTGCTGTGTGGAATTGCGTAATCTTATTTGACCTGGACTCAGACTAGCAACTAAAACTGACATGTTGAGTTGTTTTAAGACTGGATTCCTCTTTTCTACAATCGCAGCAGAACCTGTCTTACACTCTATGAGTTCCCACCTCAAGTGGAGACTGGAAAATAATCAACATTTCGTTCTCAGTGTGATTGTAAAGCATGGTGCTTATACATACAAACTTGAAAAGAGTATTTTTTCTCGCCTCCGAAGGCTTTCTCTCTTGTAACCAATCTTCAGATAGCACAACCAGAAATTCTTGTGTACATGTCTCTCTTTTGTACCTTTCTGTCCCTAAGTCCTTTTCTTGAAATGTGTTTTCTCTCTCTCTCTATCCTAAACATCCTTTTATTTTGATTCTACAGGAAGGTGAAAAGAAAATGAAGGATAGTCAAGATGAAGCTGAAAAGAAGGAAGAAGAAGCAAAGAAGGATGAAGAAGAAGACGAAGATGAGGAAGAAGAAGAAACAGAAGGCAAAGCAGAACCAGCAGAGGTGAGTTATCTCATCCATTTGACCTTGATTCTTGTTTTCGAAAAACTGTTTCCTCTTATTCAGGGACGAATGACCTATCAACCAATCTTCAGATTATTAATTTTTCTTGGAAATACTAGTAGTACTCTAACACCTTTGATATCTGTCTATCAGTTAGAGATTAATTGTCACAGACCGCATGAGTTCCACCTCTTTAGCACCTACTTAGATTACTTAATCACATATTTCTCAAAGTATTTTCTCCTTTTGAACTTGGGCACAGTATATTACCACCTACTATTTATTAGACCAAGCATAAGTATCTCAAAGCTGTAAGTGAAATATACCTTCCTAAAGCCATTAACTCTATCGTTTTCATATTTGCAATTGCACCTCTCAATGCCAATTCCCATGAGATGATTTCTAACGATGCTAATTTTTCTTTTTCAGGAGGATCACGATGAACTGTAAGCCAATCACAAAGCCACCAGAACTGATTTTGTAGAACGAGAAGTTTGAACCAAAATGTGTTTCACCGTGTTGCGCTTTGCCTCGCGCAGAACTGATTCTGTTTGTGTGAGAACAAACTTGAGTGATGTTGATTATTGTTGATTATTGTTTTGTATCATACGTAATTAAGTCATCTTTTGTTTCGCGTAGCTCTCAACCGTTCTGACGCTCTTGCTTTCACTTAATTAAATCCTGACGTCAACTTGAAGACCAAAGATTCCAAAGAACTGTGGAATTTATTAATGTCCCATTTTATTCATCAGTAACCAAAAATACAACAATGGTGCGAAAAGATTCTTTATACCAACAGAACTCTTTTTTAGTTTATCTCCAAGTGATTTTGGAATTTTGTACTTTGAAAAGTCCGGATACTTTTCTCGATTGAAATTTAATTGATGCGGCTGTGTAAGATTGTACCTCCCTCCAAGCTTTAATTCTGTTCGGTTTCAATTCAGTTCTTCATCTTTGTCAGGAGTTAATTAAATGAGGTCCCTCAGCTCCTATCCTTGTCTCTCTCTGCTTCTCTACATTTTTGGAGCCGTTACTTTTATCCTCACCCTGTTGCAATTCTTTTTTGTACATATTTGTTGTACCAGTCTTACTGGTCCTCGTTTTTGTCCCAGCTTCTTCTCTTCTTGTCCCTTTCCTTGTAAATATTAAAGCTAAGAAACGATTGATGGTACATAATTCTTAAATATGTAGGTTGTTTAATATGTGTGTTGGTTTGTTGGATTTATTCCACGAGTAAATGTGCATATTGATCTATCAAACGTCAAAATGACATATTGTCATTGAGGTAGTAACTTTGATACCAGCCTCTCTCACCCCCTTCATGTGGCGTACTTCAATGAAATCTGGTCAATGTAGCATATTGTGGCCTCGGTGTAAGTAGTTGTGTAATTTTGAACTTTTCTCACTCAGCAGTCATTCTGCACCTTAAAGATTTCTTTGAAGCACACCCCTGAAACTTTCTTGCGGGTACGTCAGTCAGTCTTACATTTATACCTAACTTTTATGAGCTGTTTTGTTTTTCTTCTTCTTATTTCATCAATTTCCTTATAAATTGATGAGATTACTTGAGATCTCAAAAGCTAAAAGCGAATTGGTGAAATTTTTTTCCCCTGATACCTAATATAATGTATTTTGTCCTGCAAAGCAAATATTATTGGAATATCTTTAATTTAGGAAAACTTAGACAATATTTTTTCATGTTTTGTACCGAATCACAGACAAGAGATTCCTGATTTACTTATTCACTAAGTCCTCATCAGTTGGTGTTTCCCCCCCCCCCTCCTTCTGACACTGAATTTGATAGATGTATCTCAAGAGTTACTATCATGAAGGAACTGATCAAAAAAAATCTGATAATCAATACATCTTTTTTATGATTGAGAAAAAGAATGACTTTTATGACTTCTGCAATTTAAATAGATAGACCAGTGGGGCTATCGTCTCAAATATTAACTCAGTCCATCGATATCTCGCTCTTTTTACAGAGGCCGTCTACTTGCATGATTTTTGTAAATATTTTAAATTTAGTCATCAGGAGAAGAAAAATAACAGAATGGAAAAAATTTCATCAGTGACGGTGGTAATCTCAGCCGAATATACTTAAACAAACCATGAGCAGCTGAAGGTGTTTTTTAGATGAGAGTGCATTCAAAAACTACTTGTTTTTTTTTTTTGCATTAACACCCCCCCCCCCTCCCCCTCAAGATTTTCCTGTTTCAGGTCTACTTAGATTTTATGTGCTGTGAATGATCAATGTTATTGAATGCCCTTGCAGAAGTTAAAGTAAAAATTATCAATAAAGCGATGCATTTGAATGTGCTGTAGACAAACTTTTTAACTCATCGGATTGTACCAACACTAGTAGAAACCACCATTCATATGTACTAATGGTCTTGTTATCCTGAAGTAATGTCCTGTTCCTCCTGGATTTTAGTCTTTTAATCCATCTTTTTTTCTTTTTGTAATCAAAATTAATTGAAGCAAATAAAAATTTTGATACTACACCTAAGTTCTTTCTTTCTTTTTGTATTGTTGCATTTCACCAAAATTCTCATTAATTACCCGGGGGAAATAATGTTTTATTTGAAGATTAGAATTTTTCACCAAGAACGTTCTCATCTCTCAAAAATCTTCCCGGTAATGGGCTCTATCCAAGTCATGCATTTATGCCCTCTGCTGGTTCTCTTAACTCAAGTAAATGCAGATATCTTTGGAGGTAGATATTGAAGCGCTGCAATAAAAATAGGACCATCTGGCGTCAAAAACACCTGTGTTTAGCTTCTTGGAAACTCATGGGTACTCCCTGAAAGCCTGTTTTTGCATCTTTACTCTAGTTACAATAGTTGCAAAGAAATAAATTACTGAAACTTACATTGGAGACAACCCTTAAGCGATTAAAAGGGTTGAGAAATGAAAAAACTTGGGTAGGATGTTACTTTATAACATTTAATTTTTCTACACGATAAAAAAGATTGAGATAGAATAGCAAGGACATCAACACAAGATTATAAAACACTTTAAAAGACTGCGATCAGAAAATTACAAACTGGAATAAAATTTACGAGCACATGCAAACAATTTATGAGAAATAATGATATAACCCACTGTGGGTATTCTTTTGTCCTAGATCTCTTAAAACTGCAAAAGGACCAACAACTTTAGTTGGTGACTTATTTACAGAATCTTGGTTGCTAGTGGTTTTCTGCTGTTGCTGGTGTTGCTGCTGTCTTAAAACACTCGCGTAAGTGGTTTGCTTTTGAGCATCATCACTTAGATCTTGATTACTCCACTGGTTAACATTTGATGCATTCTGTGAAGGTGCGTTTGGTTTTGCACTTGAAAATCCATTCACACTAACAGAATTTGAGTTTTCCGCGCTACTATTTACATCGTTATTTGATGATACATACATTTGATTACTAGAATAGTTTGAAAACCCATTCATGAACATATAATCATTCGACCCTCCTATACTGGGCCCGCTTTTTGTCGGAGCACTAAAAGCTGTGGGGTTTGTGCTACTATTTGATACAACACAATAAGTAGAAACGTTATTTGTTGCTGGTAGATTACTATATGATGAACTACTAGAAGACTGCATACTATAAACGGAGTTATTCAGTGTATGCATGTTATATGCTGACGAGTTAATGCTAATATTTACAGGGATATTGAAAGAGGATGTATTTATACCATCGCTCATAGGTAGGTGATGTGCACCAACATGATTACTTGTAGAAATGCTGAGTGCTTGAACAGAGCCACTAGGTAAGTTAAAAGAGGATGTTGCAGTGAGATTATAGGGTGTTGTGTTGCCACTTGACATAGGGAGATTCAGAGGAGGTTTAGCGTCTAGATTATAAACAGAGTTGTTGTTAATCGGTGCTGAGAAATTAGGGTTGCTAATGTTGCTCAAACCTATCAACGATGCATTATTTGGAACTAGATTAAAGGAGGATGAGTTTGCAGGACTAAATGATGCGTTTGAACTTAGCGGAGAGCTAAAACCATTAAGAACAGTTCCGGTCTTGATTAGAAGATTTGACCTATCCAGACCATCGGGCACTATTACTCTAACTTGCTGCTGCTGCTGAAGCAGAAGCTGGTGTTGTTGCTGTAACTGCTGTTGCTGAATTTGCTGCCGTTGCTGTAACTGATGTTGCTGCTGCTGCTGTAACTGATGCTGCTGCTGTTGTTGTTGTTGCTGCTGCTGATGTTGTTGTTGCTGCTGTTGTTGTTGTTGTTGCTGCTGCTGTTGATGTTGTTGCTGTTGAGACTGTCTTTGGTACAAAGGTATAGATGTCCTGTCCGAGGATATACTTAACTTTTCGAACTGATCCACTCCCTGCAACACAAAAGAGTAAACATTAATTGATATTACTATGGAGACAATGCTGGATTTAAAAATAGATAAATGGACGTATTTTGTTGGGAAAATCATTCGCGACAGTTCCTTTCATTCAAAGTAGTGCTGCGTTGTGGAGGTGACATCCCAGTGACCTTTCTTCTTGCGAGGCCTAACACCTGGGTTAAAAAACCATCCAGATGGGCAAATTTTCAGTAGCCTCCGATCTGCTGACAAATACTTAAATCAATGCTCTCCTGTTCACTTCTGAAACTCATCTTTTCCGTTTTGGAAATACTGACAGCCAAACCCCACTTATGGTTCTCTTCAATGAACCGAGCGTCACCCAGCTCTTGCAAATTTACACGCTCCTCATCAGCAAAGGACAAAGTGACCGAAATTTCAAGATCACTCAGAAAGAGGCACATGCCAGCACAGTTCATTGGTCATTCCCCCATGAAATTTCCACCTAGTTAAAATTTTGATGATAGGAGAGAAAACATGACAAAGAACATACCTCCGACAGAGCAGTTGGTGGTTTCAGAATAGGTTGATTGAAAAATTCTGTCTCCAGAATATTCTGAGTTGGAGGCGGTTTCATATCTTGCATAACAGTTTTTTCGCCAGCATACCAGGTCTGGGGTCGAGCCAACATTGGATCTATTACGGATTGCGAGGAGAATATCTCGGTGGACTGAGGTCGTTGTTGAATCCTATTTTCTTGATTAGTGGTGACAGCTAAATGCCTATGTTTTTTCATTTCCGCTGTTATTAATTCTACGTACCTGATGATGAAATAAACATATTACATAATTGATTAGTGACGCTAGAAAAGATCAAGAGTGGAGAAAAACCAAGCACTCACAACTCACTGCAACTGATTATAATTATGAATTGAGAGTTGTATTTCTAATGCATGATAAATTATGCATCAAGACAGGAGTTCAAAAAGTATGATTCAGGAAGTATGCTACGGGGAAAATTTTGCTGAAAATCAGCCAATTGTAAGGGTAACAGTGCATGAAAAGCAAAAATATTTTGATTTTTGCTATGAGTACCACACATTTGCAGGCGAAAATTTAAAAATCAATTTTTCATGAAATATTCCTGTTACAGGTAAAAGGAGATAAAAAATTTGGAAGCACTTACTTATTAGCTATTTCAATGCCTGCCACATCACAAAGATGATTATACCATTCTACTTGTTGTTGTGGAGAGTCTAATAATTCATTCAAGCTAACATTTGGGGGTAAAAGAGAGATTTTTTCTGTTGGTTCCTGAAACAAATATAAGCATAGATAATTTTTAAGAAAAATTATTTCTGTAACTGATTCCAATTCCTGAATATATCAAAATATCATATGTTGCCTCGGTGACTTAGGTAAAAACTTGAGACCAAATTAGAGTGAATTAAAGCTTTCAATCAGTATGAAAACTAAGCTAAAATGGCCCTGCACGAAATACCAAGAACTTCTGTGCTGGCTAAATATTGTTATTACTTCATATAATGTCTTTTATGACCACATGAGCAATATTAGTTTTAAAAATTAAGCGTTCTATGTGCCAAAGTCAAAAAAGACAGGGCCTCTAGATGAATCTTCGAGATTCTTACACACATATTCTTACAAAGATGTGGGGCTGTTGCTTTGTGTGTAAGGACACTGCCCTGAAAGCTGTAGTCATTCGAAAGGATTGGATTCTTTTCATTTGTTTCATTTTCCTGATCAGCAAGAGGACCACAACTCTCCTTAATTACCAAGCAGATATTGCAACAATTCTACTGGATTCTTCTTCAAAAATTCTTTCTTCACAAAATAGGCATGCAGAGAGGTCAAATTTAGAAACTCATTGTCCTCTGGAGGTCGTAAAGGACATTTATAACAAATGATGAAAAATTTTAGCCAGTGTCTAAGTCGTTGGCTTTCTGTACAGGATCGTTTGGAGAATGGGAGAATTCAAGTCTTGGACAAGTTATAAAAATGCAAAAAGCCTTTATCCTTCATTAGACGTTTCTCTTTATGAAGCTTTAAGAGGAAGATTAACTCAGATTAAAATAAATCCCTAGGACTTTTTTATAAAGAAACTGGTGACGGAAATTAAATTATTTACAATGAGGCGATGAAACTAATCAACTTCGATTAAAATAGTAACGTAAAGACTAGAATTAACTTACATGTTTTTCCGGGAAATTCATATTCTGAATGAATTGAAGATCCTCAATTCTGTCTAACTGTTGAGGTGACGCAAGGAAATCGTTTCTAACCGCTTTGAGTTGTTGAATCTGCATTGGATGCTGATTTGGAACTGTCTGAAGCAAGTTATTTGATGCTACTATATTTCGTGGTCTAATTAAAGTTGCCGGCGGTACAGTCAAACTATTAGAAAGAGGAACTGAGGGCTCTAAGTTGGCTGATGACTGTCTGGGAACTGGCTGATAAACAGGATTCTGAGATGCAGCAGGATGAAGTAGTCCAGGGGGAGGTCTAATACTATTATCGTTAAGGGTAGGTGAAAGGTCCTTCTTTTTAATCCAGTTAGATGCTGCTGGATAAACACCATTAGAAGGAGACAAAATAGATGCAGGGGGTAAAGGCGGAGGAGGAGGAGGAGGTGGAACATGCATCGTCCAAGGACTTACCAATGGATTTGAAGAGGAGGGTAATACAGGTGGCGGTCTAATAGCGTAAAAGCCGTTGGGTTGTTGAGGACAAGGGTAGAATAATGGTAGAGGATAAAGAGGGTGAACACTCTGCATGATCGCAGGGGGCGGCGGGGGAACTTGAACCCCGAAGGGGTTCCACATTTTATTGAAATTTCCGACTAAATTGTTTGGAATTCGAATATACGGCTCTACAGGCAGGATTCTTGGCACAAATTCCGGTGCCAAGGGATTCAACACATAAGTCTTTTTCAGTTCTACTCCATCAAGCTGACTTCGAAGTAGTGACCATGTGATTCCGAGTAAACTCTTGTTCAAATTACAAATTTCTAAGAATCGCTCCCAGACTTTCCTGAAAAATAGAAAAAAATGGAATGAGATTAAAGCAGGGCATTAAGCATTATGTCTTCATCATCAAATTCCCTGACTTTCCCAGACTATTTTTGCTTTCCCCTGACTCAGAGATTTTCGGATACCCTGACATTCCAAAAAATCCTGACATTTCCAAAAACTGCCATTTTCATTTTTCCCTTTTACACTACACTCACTGCTGAAGAACACACCTCCCAAAATTCCCTGACTTTCCTCGTTTTCTGGATCGGCAGCAACATTGTTGATGAGAACTTTTTAAATCATAAACACAACATTCTTCTTCTTGGATCCATTGCACTAAAAAGAGTAAACCGACGAATTCATTTCATGAGAAATGACACTATGTTTTCCTACTTTTTTGTACCTATTAAAACTGGGTACTGAACTTGAATGCTTTAATCACATAAATATCATAAAAATAAGACATGAGACATTTGATTCTCATTACCTGCAACGACCAATGGAGCAAAGGGCTACAGGATCACCAACAACAGCAACTAGACTTTGAGCCCGTGTGATGGCTGTGTTGAGGAGCTTCGAATTTGATAGAAATCCATATTCGACATCTTCACTGCCTTGATTGGAGTCACAAGTCCGCCGTGTTCTAACCGTACTTAAAAATACCGCTCGAAATTGTTTACCTGTGTCACAAAATCAAAATTAATAAAAACAACTTCATTACGATGCAATAATAACATAATAAAATTAAAGCCAGTAAAACAATATTTCTCTTTTTAACTTTTCCGAGACAGAAGAGTCATTGACCAAGATAATCCAGAAAGACAGTCAGAATGAAGTTACACGAGAATTACAAAAGGGCTGAACCATATTGGGAACTAAGTGAGGAGCTACTCTAGTAATTTTTAATTTTTTCATTTTTTAAAAGTAAGTAAAGCTTTCAGTTCACAGTATGGAAAGCCATGTGGGCGAAAAGATAAAGTACCATGTAAAAAAAAACTTCACCGAACATATTTATTTTCTCTAATTTTATACTTTTTTACCTCCGAATATTTTTATTACGCACGATTATTTTTTTCTCCTCAATTTTGTTTTTTGCCCGATTATTTTTTTCTCACTATTATTTTTTCAGAGATAAAAATATATTATCGACATTCCTCAGCAACATTGCCACACAGTCCAATAAGATAAAAGAAGACTTTTATGAGATGGCTAGTAGCAACTCTAGTCAACGAAGAGACTTCTTTATACTAAGCACTTGATGATCCAAAGGGGCTTACAGGAGCTTAAATAACATAGGCAAGGCACAGGCATTTAAGAGCTTTTAGGGTTAGGTAGGTACATTTAGTTTCAAAAACATCATCGCCATTCATGGGACTGTGTGGCAACACTGCGGTGGAATGTCGATAATATATTTTTATTTCTGAAAAAATAATAGTGAAAAAAAAAATAATCGAGCAAAAAAATAATCGAGGAAAAAAAATACAATAATTGCGCTTAATAAAAATATTCGGAGGTAAAAAAGTATAAAATTGGAGTAAATAGATATGTTCAGTGAAGTTTTTTTTTTAACACAGTACTTTATCTTTTTGGCCAGACGGCTTTCCATACACAGGAGTTTTTCTTAATTTTCTTCAATTGATATGAAACCACAAAAAATTTTGGACAACTTCATTTTACAGTTTAAAAATAAATTTCAATTAATAATAGATAACTGCATACCTTGAACATTCAGGACTCGTTCCACAGATATTCCTCCCAAACGTCGTTTCCTCAGTTCCGACCGAATTCTGAATACTTGATCTGCATAGGGTGTCATAATGCCGATTGAATGTTCATCTTGCTTACCCCAAGATGAAGGCCATTTTTTCTTAAGCTCGCTCACCCTTTCAACTAGTTCGTAAACCTAGAAATTGAGTAATAAGTAACATTTGTTATTACTACGATAAATCATTCCTGGTGAAGAGAAGTACTAACATTGTCGCTGACTTTTAATTGATCCCGACAATGGTTGCGATTCCTGTAGAATTTCTGTGAAAGCACAATCGGACTGCATTTTGTATAAAGAACTACAATTTCTAGCTCACGCATTAAGTCACCTATATGGCATTGGGAAACTAATGGCACACATGCTGTTTTTTAAATGAGCCAGAAATTATAGTTCCAAACTGCAGAATGTAGACCAATTGAAGGGCTTGAATGACAAGGCCCATCAGAGCAGATTTTGAAAAAACTGAGATGTTAGTAACTTTAATTAAAACTAGTCTTATGGCATATTCTTTGAAAAATTTCCAAATTCAAAATTTAAGCATCGAAAAGTCAGTCTGAACGATTCACCATTAGGATCCATGCAATTTCGAAACTTCAAACACGTATTTCTTGAAATAGCAAAAACTGCACTTTGGTGCCTTGTCCTTCAAGCCCCTCGATTGAAAGTCTAAAAAGGACCCCGCACACCTCTTATGGGAAGCTGCACCATGACCGAATGCTAATTTATTCATGTCATTCGATTCTCCTCAAGATGCTGCTCAAAAGTTATAAGTGCGCCAACTTTCTACGATGCACCATTTTCGTAAAAAACCGCCGAGAAGATTCAATTATTCGGCGACAATGAATTAAAACGAACAAAGCATTTGAGAACAGGGCCGATGTAAATAAGGAAAAAACGTATGTGTGTCCGTCCTCTTATCTGTACCTGCCGACTCTGGGGCTATCTCCCTCTCGCTCTTGTCCGGTTAACGTTCCGACTTTTCTGTGCTCATGCTCCTCAAGAATCTGATTTTGATGGTCCAGCAAAATGGCGTGCGGAATCCAGGATAAGACTGCTGCTGGGTGCGGGAGTTCCCATGATTTCCTTGTTGACACACAGCCGCTTGTCAATCGAGTACTGAAATGAGGAATCTTTCTGGCTTCTTATCGCCGAATAATTGAATCTTCTCAGCGGTTTTTTTGCAAAAACAGTGCATCGTAAAAAGTTGGCGCAATTATAACTGTTGATCAGCATCTTGAGGAGAATCGAATGACATAAACATATTAGCATTCGGTCATGGTGCAGCTTCCCATAAAAGGTGTGCGGGTCCTTTGCAGAGAAAGTTTGCTTTTTTCTTATTATATTTTTTTTTAGCGTCTTGCTCCAAAGAGAATGCACATCATGCAAGTTTACATAGATGTAAAGATTCAAATGTGATATGTCTGATAAACATAACAACACAGACCACCATTATGAAACCGAGTTCCTCAAATAAAAGTAAACAACAAAATTATTTCCTCCTGTCAAACATCTGCATCTCTCTACTTTTCAAGCCATCAATGAGCGATAAAAAGGAGAAAAAAAGAATAACTTACTTCAGCGTTATTGTAAAAAGCTGTTGAATTATTATCTTGAACGTCTTCTCCTCTGGTTGTAAAGAAAGTCAGCGGATAATAAGTATCATGCCTTGGTTGTTTCCCACTGCTAATTAGTTTCTGGTCATAAAACAACTCTGATGTAAACTGAAAATGAAAATTTCAGAGATTTTAATGATCAAAAGTTACAACAAAAGGATTATTCTTTCAAAGAGAGCTTCTATGAGAGGTTATCAGCTGAGCGCAATTTTATATAATTCCACACATTAATGCCAAAATGTTGATTACAACCTGCAATGGGAACTTTGATTCATTTTGACCAAATTAAAGGAAAAAGAAAATAAACAAAAATCATTTTTAACTTTCCAGCTATACAATATTGAAAGTTACACGAGAGAAAAAAGTTGAAAGTTACATTGAAGGTAACATCATGGATCGTATACGATACATCAAACAGGTTAAGTTGTATCGATATCGATTGGTTCAACACGTAAACATAGCCTCAAAAGTCAATTGCGTAATCTGAGGGAGCAGGTTTTTGTGATAGATTTTCTATTCTTATGAGTACCAAATGGCAATGAAAAGTGAAATCGATAGGAATGTTCTCTTTTACAGCTTTTCTGACTTAAATCCTAAAATTTTTGTTTGAGATTAGGCTCTATTATTTTAAATCAAACAATACATCAAACCAATATCGAATCCAATCCATCAAAGTTAGTTACATACACTTTGATGAGAAAATTTTACAGAATCACGCTGAGGACAGAGGTTAAGGACACCTCTGAAATGTGTCCGCTTTAAAAATTGAAAAAATTTTATGCGAGTGAGTGATTTAAAAGTTTGCTTTAAAAAATTTTAAAAAAATTTAAATTTTACATACATATACTTCACCTTTAGGTGAGAAGAAAAAGTAAAAAACAAATTTCATGCGAAGATAGAACAGTTTTTATAAGGTAAGGTTAGACATACGTGGAGTGACTCTAAGAGTCTGAAAATATTTTGGTCACATAAAGAGAAATAAAGCTTGGACTTCGTTCATATTAGAAGCCGATAAGGAGATCTAAATGAATGTATACAAACCTGAATAATTGCCTCATGAGCCCTATAATTTTCACAGAGTAAAATTTTACAAGGAAATGTAGTTGGATAGTGATCGTACAGTCTTTCTAGCAGTGAAATATGCAGAAGTCGTTCTTTTGCAAACTGGGAATATATTTCAGCACTCAACTGCAAAAGAAGAATGAGTATCGTTAGAAAAGGAGAAAAGATACCGAATCATCTTTCTACAAATTGACAAGAAATGTTTGCTGAAGTGGCTTAAAGATGAAACACAGATGAACATCATCTTATTTAAAGCAATGATAGACAGATTAAGAAAAAAAAAGTATTCTAAATTGACAAGGTGCCAGAGGGACTTGAGAATACTAATTATTTATTTGCGTTTATTCCTACTTAATTCAAGAAGCTCCATCAGAATGATGAATAATTTGTCATTGGTCACATTAGCGTATCATGATTGAATTAACAGTTTTATTTCAATTTTTGGAAATCGAGATAGACGCAGAGGGTTAATTCTGCACCAGATAGTACATCTTGAATACATGAAAGAACATTTTTCCTGTCATTTGTATCCAACAGATTTTAAGATGCATGTTCAGCAACATTTATTTTCATCAAAAAATTTTACACAAAAGCAAAAAAAAAAAAAAAACAAGTCTAAATAAAAAAATTTTTTTTTTGTTATCTCATTACTCTTTATTTCACTCACTATTATTCCATACTCTAAGACTCTCAAATTGGTTTTGTTTTTGAGTAAACTATTTTCCTCTCATTGAAGGAGCTAAAGAAAATACAAAATTTCGAAGTTAGCCATCACAGAGTTGAAACAAAACGTGGTAATTGTGATGATGTAAATTTCCACGGACAGTGAAAGTATTTTGTTCATTAACATAAATTAAAACACACAACTTTCGAATACTCTTCTTACTACTTTTTATCCAAAAAAGGAAAAAAAAATGGTAAGAACAAGATAGAAGTAGGAACTAATGAGAATAGAAAGTAAAGAGAAAAGGAAGTAAAAGAAGGGAGTTCATTAGTAGACTGCGATTTTAAACATATTTGTGGTATTAACAACTCCAAAAATTCATTTCCTGATGTGTACCATCAACACAGTTTTTTCCTCTCTCAAAATTCAGAAAATTCAGCCAATATGGGAATATATCCTTCACTGATACTTCAATACCTCTAGAAAATCACATTTGTGAACTTACTTGCATATGGTCACCAGCTAACACTATCCTAGTTTTATCATTTGCTAACGCTAGTGGCATGATCGCCTCACACTCCATTGCTTGCGCTGCTTCATCAAGCAAAATGTGAGTGAAAAAACCTAAAAAAAGATAGATACATGATGAAAACAAAATAGGCAATAATGAAAAATATATTGTACAATCCTAGAATCAGCTACAAAAGATAATAAGAAATTCAAGAATTATATGATGTTGATATTTCAGTTTTTTGACACCCACCCACCCCCTGAGGCGCTCTGTAATGTTGCAGTGGGAAGGTAACCATGGCAACTGCCTTGGGGCAGATAATTTTGAGGATCAAGGGATCACAAGGGAGGAAATATTAGGATTGTACAAAAAATGAGTCAAAATTGCTCAAAAAAGGGTGGCCACGATTTCTTATGGATAAAAAATCCCACATCGTAGATCTCATCCCCGGAATTATCGTAAGTGGCTTGAATCCTAAAAATTTCCCGGGTGCTGGACACCCTTTCAAATTACCAATGAGACTTACTTTTCTGGTGAATGTTTACAAAGGCACATAAGGGTTAAAACGAATAACAAAATTGTATTCGAAATTTGTTTCAAAATTCGAAGTTTGTAACATACCTTTTTTCAAGCCTAATGTTGATAAAAACATTGAGATATTCAAAGTTACAACTACAACACGATGCTTTAAAATATCTTCCACAGTCGGAAACTTGAACTTCCGCACACCATTCACAACTTCTGACAAACAGTACTGAAAAATATAGAAAATGTTTCGTTATGAAATTAAAAGCAGATAACTAAACAATGTAATACTTTTGGATGAGAAAAATTTTGAAAAATGCCACATATGTTGAATCAGTGTGGTGACCTAAGTTCTTCTGTGATGCTGATTGCCCATGTGAGGGAAAAGTAGAACTTAATGGCAGGGGAAATAAAGATCTCCCTCCGCTTTTCCAATTTCTCTGCTTAGAATACATCCGGGACTGTCATACCTGTTCATGCTTGTTTTTCTCCAAATCACACATCTGAATTAAAAGTTCAAGATTGCGCTAGGGTTTTAAAAACTTTACCTTGAATTTTTTTCAAAGATTGGAGCTCATAGCCTATTCAAAACTTAATTTTCTCTGACCATACACAAGGCTTGTCCTCTGGCAGTAGAATTTAGGGATGGAAATTTCGATTAATCGGTTAATCAAATCTTTTTAATATCAATTGTTTTGATTGATAGAGAAATCAAATCTTTTCAAGCCATGAACATGACAACTGGGCAAATTTGTCAGCTTTACGATTCTGATTTTCACTAAAACTCAAAAAACATTAAATTTTGGAGGGAAGATTGGCCAAAAAAGTCATTAGTCACAGTCTTACTAGATTTTCATGAAATATTTTGATTCAATTATTCTCATGGATTAACGGTGATGACGCAATTTATTATCTTCATATACTTGATTTTCAATTGATATAGATTAATGAAATAATTGTCCATTTTTATTGGTATGTCAAAATATACTTGTAGATTAACAATGCATAACTTTTAATTTGTAATCTCAAACACTGACCTCTTGAACGACTTGATTCACGGTTGCCATCCATCTTTTATGGTAGTAAACTCTGAGAGGTCTAGCTTCTGTATGACCGGCTTGGACGTACGGATGTAAATAATCCTTAATGTAAAGATCAGCTGCGCTATTTGAATGAGTACACACTAATATCCTTGTATCTGACTGGAGAAGAACTTCTTTAATTGCCTGCGCTAATGTATACGTCTTTCCAGTTCCAAATGGACCTATAATGAAAACAAACATTCACATCAGAGGAAGAAAAACTCAACATTTTATTTGATACATGGAGTACACATAAGAACATGGAAGTTGCAGAAATGCATCATAGAAAACAGAGTCTCTGAAATGAAATATAGCAGTCTTGCTAGGAATGGATTTGTGCTGCTGAAATCTGAAAATTGGTGAACGAGCACAACTTTATATGTATTTTTATGAAATTATTTGGCAAGAGAAGAGTTACGGGAGTTCCGAGTGAAAAGTAATGGAGGAAGATTGTCAAGTTTACCTTGGCATAGCATGCTCATTGGGTTTCTTTGTATATACTGTTATACCAATTATAAATAAGGGTTGAATTTTGATAAAAATTGAGAGTACAAACCTATGATTAGAATCGGTGGTAAGGATACTTCTATTGGAGTGGTAATCGCAACAATAGCTTCTTTCTGCTTAGGGTTTAGCTTTGAATCAATTGTATCACTCCACTGTCTAGAGGAAAGAGGCAAAAATGAATTGAGCTATAAGGATACGATTGAAAATAACAATAAAAAGCAAACAAATATCCTTGGGGCTTTTGACCATAGTCACACAACACATTCAAATAAGAGCATTGTGTGGGTATCAATCAAAATTCTTCGGCAAATACCATTCACAAAATAGTAACTTGTGAACCAAAGATGCCAAATCTATTTTTAAAATATTTATGTTCCAGAAATTTTATTTTTAAAACACTCAAAAATACTACTAGACCCATGGACACTTATCTTTTTAACCGCTTGGCTTGTGATTTGATTTGACTCAGCCACACCTAAAATAAGTGAATAAATATGCAAACAGTAGAGCTTTGGACACTTAAAAATAATCCTGAACTTATTTACTGAAGTTGAAAATCAACATAATAAGCATTTATAATGGGTTTTCTCAGCAAACAAGGAGACAATTTAGTTTCTATCATTTCAAAATGTTGATTTATCACTGTCAAAATCATAAAATAAGTAATAAGTAAGAACGTATTGAGGTGATATAAGTTCAACAGTACGATAATACAAAAATACCACGACAAAGCAATAAATTACCATTCAAAATCATTTTTAGGTTGGTAAAACTACTCATGAAAACATTGAGAAGAATGTGATCTATTGTAGAGTTGTTGATATTTCATAAAAATCGATATCCATCAAAGCCATTAGTTCAGAACTGGCCTAGTGCAGCACAGATAACTCACAGCCATCCCTTCATGTCAATGGGTTAAAGCATTTCAGTGGCTTTAGCAGCCTTTGGATCTAGTAGTAATGTCGCATGCAAATAGTGAAATCAGGCATTTTGTCAAATGCCTAGGCAGATTTTCAAATTTTGACGATCTACAAAATTTTGTGAATTTATGGCGAAGAGCTCACGATTTTTCACTATTTTTGGAAAAATAACTCATCAAACCTACGAACTCTTTTTGTCTCTTCCTCTCCAATTGCTTCTAATATTTTTAAATGTTGAAATTCCGAAAATTCTGTATTTTATGACATGCTGAAAATTTCAAGATCAGTGTCTATTCAGGGGCTAAAAATCGTTTAGAATACTATTGTGTGGTGCACATTTTTACTGAGAATTTTCTCTTGCAGGAGCAACGAATTATTTTGTCTTAAATTAGGGAAAGAATCAGAATTTCAATTTAAGGTAGAATATTTGACTATTTGACTATTTGACTATTTGCCTAACCATTTGACAAAATGCCTGATTTTACTATTTGCCTGCGACAGTAACATGGAAATCGGAATGATCCAGGGAAGTGAATAGAAAATGACTTCATATGCAAGGAAAAACAGCGAAAACACTTACTTCGTTGGTGTCCAAGGGATACTTGGCTCAGTGTAAGTATCTGGAAATATTAGTTTAAAATCGGTGATTTTATCCACAGCCTGATGCCATTCACAGTACGGAATCCTATTGAGTTGAAATTGAACATCGAATAATACTTCTGTGTCCCTCTTCAACTTTAATGTTTTGACAGTGTTAGCAGATAACCTAAGATAAATTGTATTTTTCCCTTTATCTTCAATTAGAGCTTCGTAAACTATACGTTTTTCTTTGCTTTCATCATTTTCTTTGGAAGATTTCTTGACAGCTGAAAGAATAAAAAAAGGGCACAAGTTAGGTCAGAAAAAACTTGGCAACTCACAAAAAGCTGATAAAAAGGTGAAAAAATAGTACCAGGTTTCCATAATTTCTTTGTGTTCCAATTCCCTGACTTCCCTGCCTTTGTTTGCTTTTTCTCGGTTCAAAAATTTCCAAATCCCCTAACCTCTGAGCAAGACTTCTGTTTCGATTTTATTTATTTCTTTTAAAAATGGTAACTGGAGTATCCATAATCTCCAAGTTCTTTGCAACTGTCTATGAGATTATTTCAGTAGCCTAAGTCTACAAAAAAAGAAAACATCAAATATAAGTGTTTCGATGAATATTATAATTACCTTTTTTACTAGGAGCTAATAATACAGTTGCACAATTGTTTAAGATTAGTCTACCGGCGGATGTATCTTCAGAAACATCTTTCCCAAGTTTCATTAAAGCAAATAGTTCATCATTATGGGCATACTTCGCTGTGCTAGCTGAAACTCCACTAGGAGATAAAAGATAGCAATTCACTAGCTTGAGTCTCGTAGATAGATTATAATGGGCAATCTGAAAGAAAAAGAGAGACAATTAAACTTAATTTGTCGAGTTGCTAGGTTAAAATGAAGCATTGAACTGTAATCTGAGCCTGGGAGAGTTTTGGAGCCAATAAATTATTAATTATGGTAAAGTGGATTTTATGGATCTTTTATGGATTTTAGTCTTGAATAATATTCCAGGAGTGTTAATGTATTCACCCATGTCTATTCTACATCAAGCAATCATCAGCATTGATTCAAATCATCAGCATTGAGATAATTCCTGAAAAACATTTTACAGAAAAAAAAATTAGAAAAGTAAGAAAAAGACCTTTCACATAAAAGAAATTATGGAATGAAAATATTCTTGTGGCAGTTTCATGCCAAAACCAAGGTATATTTTTCTTTTTTTTTTTGCTCCACAGGCAAGAAGAAAACGCAAATACAACAACAACTATTCCCATACCTCCGATCGCCTAATAGGGATGGGAACTAGGTACGAGGCGTGTTCAGTGCTCAGCAGCGCACAAACGAGCTTGGGCCCTGTCTTCAAATCCTTGGACACCCTCCCCCCCTCGACCAAAGAGGCCCACAAAAATAATCAAGAAGATGAATAGAAGAAGTGATAAATATTACAATTTGTGACTAAATAATCCAAACTGAATATTCAAACAGAAAATAAGAGCTCAAGGTTACAGACCTGTTCGTATCTGGCCATTTCTTCAACGTAAAGGAGTTCATGCATCCTTGGTCTGTAGTTATTCCTCGTAAGTTTCTTTTCTGAAATTGTTGACTGGGTGAGCTGGAATGAATTACTATGAGGCGTCGGATACAAAGCCATTAATTCCTGTTCCCGACTGGTATCATCCTCTGATGCTGATGGTACAATGGTAGAACTGAATGGAATCACCTCCGAATTCTCTTTTTCCCACCTTTCAGACGATGATAAAGTCAATTCCTGGAAATGAAAATTGTCAATATATAACTGTGTACAAAATATGCTGTTTTCACTGATAATGAGCCGAACAGCCTCCCAATGAAATAAAAAAACAAGTAGCAAAAGCTACCTGCTGAGGGGGCGCCGCCCCCCCAGACCCCCCCTTTCAAATTATATATGTGAGACTTTGAGTATCATAGAAGTCGTGCGGCGACATGCCGAATGAAATGCCACAATTAAAATTATTGGATCAGATGATGAGCTGATAAAAGCCTTACCTAGTAATTTGGGAACATTTCTGACACAGTTTGGTTGCTTTAACTATCACTTTGATTTGCGAAATACAAATCGTTTTCACTTCGTATGTAGTT